TTATCAAAGAAATCAGCTTTATCCCATGGATTGTATAAAGGGGTTTTTTTTTTTTTTTTTTTTTTTTTTTTTTTTTTTTTAAAAAAAAAAAAACAAAACCAAAAAAGATACATCTTTCAAAGATGTTCTAGTCACCTGCATCCTCTAACTACTTCCACTTCTACATGATGCCATCAAGTGAATCCATCCAGGGAGTAATCTATTGATTAGATCAGAGCTCTCAGGGTCCAATTACCTGTCATGGTTGAATCTTCATACTCAAACCCTAACATTCCATATTCCTCCAATTCTGGGCAGCCACATTTGTGAATTTATCTTGGGAGGAGAGCATAGCAGGCCCTAGTAAAGCTGAAGATTTGGGTTCTTTAGGAAATTTCCTTTGTTGTTGCTTGATATTTCTTTCTCTTGTTTTCTCTGATTTCTCTTTATAACCTTATTAGTTGGAATTGGGCATTTCTGGATTGGCCTTCGTATTTTCTCTTCTCTCCTGACATTAGATCTTTATCCTTTGTTTTATTTTCTGGAGAATTTCTTTAGCTGTTTTCCCAATTTCTAACGTAATGATGCCTTTTCTTTCCCATTTTCTAGTTCTCTTACAGACTTGTTTTGTGTCATGACTGTACTCCCTCTTCTTTTGATGGTTACTAATTACAGCATTCCTTAGCTCCTTTTATTTTTTATTTACCTCTCATTCCTTTATTTAGCTCATTTGAGTCAAATAGCCTTTCATAAGTGTTTCTCTCAAATGTCCAGTAATAATCCTTAGCCATTTGTATAAGTTGGAGATACCAAAAGGTAGATTAGGTGATTCAGGGTTGGCTGCACAAGATAGTTATTTGCTATTAGGCCAGGATTCTAGAGAGGAAGCTCCCAGTCTTTTTCCACAATTTACTGTACTTTGATGTTCACATCTTGTATCAAAGTCAAGCGCACTACTCACTTTTTGTTTGGTGGTTTTATTTAATTCTTTGTTACTTTACACTCCTTAAGTCATATCTTTCATTTTTTTATATTTGATAATTTTATTGCATAAAATTTTCTGGAGCTTTCTGAGATTATATCAGCACTTTTCAGTACTTTCTCTGGGGGTTTAGTTTGTAGCTTCCTTTTCTAAATCACTTAGCACACTTTCATCTAAATTCCTCAAAACATTCCAACCCTGCTCTTCTAGTGTTGTATGTGTCCTCGGTGTTTTATAATCTAGTTATCTCTTATTGCTATCTTAGTTGGATTTGGAGGTAGTGGAAATAAATATTTATGTTCAGTTTGCCATGATTAACCAGAAGCTTCAGTGGCCTCTATAATTATAGTTTCAAATATAGGGAACGTAGGTAACCTTTGAAATGTTGACTGATGGTGGTAAGCAGTTGAGACCTTGATCTTGTGTTGTTGAGCTTGGCCCCTGCCTCTCGCACTGGTTAGTGTTGGGAGAGTCTTGTCTAAGGGTCTTCTCTGCTCCTACACTCCTTGCTGGATGTCATAGGGGTTGGTGCCCCCTCTTCACTCAGACTCCTTCTCACAACTCTGTTTTTAGCAAGCACTTTGGAAGGATGAGGTGATGTAGAGCAGGTGTGTAGAGCAGGCTCACTTTGTGCTCACTATAAAAGCTGTCGATTCTCAGTGTTTCTCAGCTGTAAAGTAAAGTCACTGCACAGAGAACAACTAACTCAGTCCTGTGAGAGCAAGAGCTCACCCCAGTGGGACCCAGCTAATCTCCGATAGTGTCGCCTGAATGTTTACCTCCCAACACTGTTATGTTGAGGAATTAAACTGCAGATTGAGTTTTGGTAGAGAAAAATCATAGCATTCTACCCTTACTCCCTCAAAGTTTATGTTCTTTTCACATTTGAAATATAGTTGATCTCTGTTTGTGGGTTCTGTATCTGTGGATTCAACCAACTGTGGGTTAAAAGCATTTGAAAAAATATTGTGTTTGTACTCAACGTGTGATGATATTTTTCTTATTATTTTCTATACATTATAACTAGTTACATTTGTTGTGCATTATGAGTCTTCCAGAGGTGATCTAAAGTATAAAAGAAGCTATGTGCAAATACCTACGTCAAAACCACCCGAGCTTCTGCTGATTTTGGAATCTGTAGGGGGTGTGAGGTTGGGGGTGAGTGGGTCCTGGAACCAATTCCCTGCAGACACCAAGACTACGGCCAGAACAGTCCCAGAGTTAGCTTGGTCCAGCATCAACTCCAAAGTCCAAAATTTCTTCTGAGGCTCAGGGGAAACTTATCTGTGATTATGTAAAATTGTGTGTGTGTGTGTGTGTGTGTGTG